TTTTCAGAGCGATTTTGTCCTGTGCAGAACAGGGATGGAGCTGGCTGGTACCAAGCACCACATGGTTGCCTTTGTGAGGGGCTGTGCTGGTGGTGTGACCCCCACCCACCCCTTGGGCCAGGTAGGCTTCGCCCTCTGGGCTCACTGGGTGTTCCTGGTGTGTCAGTTCCTCCATCACCGCTACAAAGCCACGTGTCTCTGCGCGGGGAAACCCAGCTCCTTGCCCAGCCCGCAGCCCAACGGGTGTCCTTTTGCAGCCTGACGGGTTTCCTTTCCAGCTCTGAGTCACAGAAAGTCACTTCTCGCCGGGAGGAAGGATGATGGTCCCAAGAGCTGGCGGGCTGCTTGGGGCTGCAAAGTCTCAAAATTAATAAGCAGCCGTGCCCACGCCGGGCCCTGGGCTTTCCCAAAGGGCGTGGAGACAAGGCCATGAGGCCTCCCTACTCCGGAGGAGGATGAGGAAGAGGTGGTGATGCCAGCACTGCAGCTCTGAGCACTGGGGGCCGTGTTGTGGGAAAACGGCCCAGGACTGACCGATGGAGAATCTGCATCTCCCCTTTCCTCTTTGGGAAGGGGGCCATGGCCAGGGGTCATTGCACAGCTTCTCTTAATGACTTGCAGAGATTACATCCAAGGCTGGCAGATAATCGTAGCCGCCGGCTCCTTAGCCAGCCCCAGCCCGATAGGATAATCCATTATCAGCCGAGGGTTTAATCTCGTGTGACAGCCGTGTGGTGATGTGCGGGACCCACGGGATCTAATTACCCCAGCATTGGTGAAGATGCTGAGGAGCTGGTTTCCCAGTCCTGCTGCTCCCTGCACAGGAAAAGCGAAGCTGCTTAACCCTTAAACTTTTCATGCAGAAGCGAGCTTCAAAAGGAAGTCAAACATTAACTCACAGCCAACCTTGCCCTCGTCTGGGTTTTTCCAGTTGTGCAAACCAGATCAGACGAAAGAAATACATTTTGCTGTGCCATGGAGCTGTGCTGGAGGTGCCAGTGTTCAGTGTAGGACCTTGACATAGGGTTACAGCGTGAAAGGGGAAACCCTGGGTGCAAACGTCTCTGCACATCCGTTTCCTGGCATGGGGCTGATGGGAGGGTGCAGATGTCCACAAGGCTCACATCCATCCTGAGTGCGTGGCGCTGGTGCCAAAGGGTGCCAGAAAGCCCTGGACTTGGGGGGAGAGAGTGGGGAGAGCAGCTTGGTAGGAGCTGGGAGGAGTGGGGGACCCTCAGAGGAGGGTGCTTGCCACAGCCACGGCCTCCATGGAGGGGTAATTACTGACGGGCATGCCCTGTCCCACCCTGGTGTCTCCTGGAAATGATGAGGGTGAAGGTGCTCCCTGCTTCCCGGGAAGTGCCTTCACTCTGGAACCCCACACCCGGCATGCCATCACATGCAGAGCTGGAAACCTCCCTACAGGCTTCTGTCCTTGTCCCTGCCTGGCTCCCGGGGCACATCTTCCCCCCTGGGAGAGAGGTGGCAGGGACAAGGGAGACCCCAGAAGCACACTCTGGCTCCCAGCAGGGAGATGCTGATGACCCAGCTGAGCACCCCCAGCACCCTCCCCACCTGAGACTCTGCCCCAGTTAAAGGTGTTAATAGGACAGGTCTGGGGAGAAGATGGGGCTTGTGATATTCAGCTGCTAGTAGGCTCCCAGTGCTCCCAGTAGCTGAAGCCAGCATGACCTGGTGCTCCCAGACCTCGTGAGTGGAAAGGCTGCAGTGAAACAGGTTCCATGTGAGTGCTTGCCTCTCCTGGCGCAGAGCCTGTCCCCACAGAGGGCCCTGCCGTGGCACCTGGGTTTCTGGCCTCCCTTGTAACCTCTCCACAAGGCAGCAGAGGGGGCCCTGTCCAGGTGTGCCGGTGTCCCCAGCTCACTCCTTCCTCAGCAGCAGCCTCGGGACCTGTCCCACACTAGGACCTTCCTCCTCAGCATCCCCGTTCTGATCCAGCCGTCACAGCGGAGTCACACAGGGCCCCAGGCAGACCACTGAGAATGGGTGTTTATTACTGGGGAGGCGTAAAAAGTCTTCAAGCAAAATGGCTTAAGGCTCTGCTTTAGTGAGGTCTGGCCAAGTTAAACGCTTAGTTCCCACCTTTTAAAGATTGTGCCCTGGGATGGGTGGGAATGGGGTGCGATGGACTGCTAAAGCTACAGTGCTCGCTCAGGGCTTGTGCTTGTCCAGGCTGGAGCTGGACCCTTTCCTGGGGGCTAGTGCGGTGGCATCACCTGCTAATGTACCCACGTGTCCCTGCTCCGTGGCCCTCCCTCTTGGCTCCGGGAGCTTGTGCTGCTGGTGGGAAAACTGCTCCGAGGGGAGCACCAGCTCTCCTGCACCCTGTGCGGGTGTCTAAGTGCTAAAGCTGCTGCTGGCATCACCCAGGCGCTGAGAGACCCTCTCTGTTACTCTGCTCCATGCAGGAGCCTGCAGTGACCTGGGGGCATCTCTCACCCACTGTCCCTGATATGCAAAGGGTGAAGAGCCTGAGCCCACCGAGCACTGCAGAGCCCGGCAGGGCATGGAAATCCCCCAGCGGAGAGCCAGGACAGAGGATGGCACGTTCACAACCTAGAAGAGAAGAAGAAGCTGGGCTTGGTGTGGCTGCCCCATGCAGTGCTCCCCCGCTGCGCTGCAGCTCCTTCGTCTCTCCCAGGCTGTTGGGTGATTCTTGCTGCTCTCCCTTGTCTGGGGTCACTTCAGACAAGCTGGGATGCAGGAGAACGTCCTCTTCACCCGCAGCAGGAAGGGAGTTGTGCTCCTCATGTCTCTGGCTCTTGGGACCAGTCCTTGCAGAGCTCCTTCTGTCCTGGACGATCCGCCTCTCCCTGCTGGCAACAAGGCCAGGATTTCTTCCTCGTCGTTGAAAGGGGACGTCCCATACCTCTGCTTCAGGTGCCTGCGGACCTGGGGAAGGAGGGAGAAACCAACTAAGGTGCCTGTTTCCACAGGCAAGTCCAAGCCTGCCAGTTAGGAGAGCTGGGGAGCAACCCAGTCCCCTGAGGACTTGTCCTCGCTCTGAGACCCACGGGCCGGC